ATGGGCTCCCTAGTGAAAGAGGTGTGGCGCTACTGAAGATGATCTAGCAAAGGGCCACCAAGATGACTAAGGGATTCTCCTCCTCCTCTCATGTGAGGAAAGGCTGAGGGAACCAGGACTGTTCAGCCTGGAGAAGAGCAGGCTTGGGGGGAATCTCATCAGTGTGTATAATTGCTTGAAGGGAGGATGCAAAGAGAAAGAGCTAGGCTCTTTTCAGCAGTGCCCAGTGACAGGGCCAGAGGCAACAGGCACAAATGGAAACCCAGGAGGTTCCCTCTGAACATCAGGAAACACTTTCTTACTGTGAAGGTGACTGAACAGGCAGCAAGCCAGCAAGGTTATGGACTCTCCATCCTTGGAGATACTAAAAACCCCTGCCTGGTCATCGTCATGGGCAACCTATTGTAGTTGACCCTGCTTGAGAGGGGCAGGTTGAACAAAGATGACCTCCAAAGGTCCCTTCCAACCTCAACAATGCTCTGATTCTGTGAAATACTAGCACTTCTCTCAGCACAGCAACACACAGTAATTGGGCAGGAGTGGATCCAATGCCCCTCCTACAAGCACCAGCTGATGTGGCACTTGTGGTATTTCCACATGCTTCACAGCCCTCTCTTAGGTGAGGCTGTAGTCATACCTCAAAACCATGGTCACAGACCTGCTTGGTCTTCACTGTGTTTTTTTCTGTATATATGCTTCTACTTTGCAGTAGTTCAGCTAATTTTGTTTAAACATTAGGTTTGGCACTTAGTGTTGGAACGATATACACTAGTATTAATGTACTCCTTTAACTACATAATCATCATTCCACTGCTTTGAATGTACTATATTAAGTCACTCCAATGCAGTCTTGTATTTGTGTGCGTTAGATTTGTTTTCCTGAAACCCTGCAGCTGTTTAAATGTCTTTTAAAATTGGTTTCAACTGGAGGAATATTACTGTACTACCACATTTCATAGTTAAATTTTAGTAGTAAAAATAGTGATGCACGAAGTGACAACCTAAATAGAAAGGGACAGGGAGTATAAAGAAGTGTTGCACACTATATCACACAACAGGTGAATGTCTGAGATCCTGTTGAATCAGAGCCTTTCCAATGAAAAAAGATAAAACAATCGACAATGAAGAATATCCACTCAGATGACTGAAGATAAATCTTAACATACCTAATAGCTTCTGCCATCTTAGTGCTTTCCTTTTTTCTATCGTCTGTTAAACGTCGTATAAAATAAATAAAATCAAGACCACAGCAGAAAATGCTACCGACTGCGCTGAACAGCACAAGTTTACTGTCATCTGCAGCTGCTGTGTTCAGTGCACTTTGGACCTCCTTCATTACCTGAAAAATAAAAAAATCATTAGCATCTTATTACATCTTGAAAAAGTCCTATACTGTTCTCCTCTCCGCCTCCCAATGAGATTTTTTGACATCTTAAATTTCTTCGGAGGATCCATTCACCCATCATTAGAAAAGGTAACTTTTTCATTATACCAAAACAATACAGTTTAAAAAAAATGTATATTAGAAGCTTTACATTTCAAAAATGTAATTAGACTAACAGAATAAAACCATTAAGAGAAGATCTATTAGATGTTATCTGTAACTAAAGTACTCGTTTAGCATTTCTGTACTTTGGACAGCAGATGGCATATGCAACCACTCCAGAAAAAAAAGAACTTTAATTCAGGCTAAAGCATGTTTCAAGTTGCACTTCATAAGTCACCGAGTCTTATGCATATCTACATGTTCAGGTTACATCATTAAAACTCGGCTGAATTACACTTCAAGACAGTTGTTAAATCTTGCAAGCAACAACCTGAATCTTGTTTCATGTATGTTTGTGCCTCAATAACAGGCATAAATGAGGCAGAGACTCCCTCAGCACCCTTCCCCTCCCCAAATCAGAATTGTTCTGACCTCTGGATTTAGTGAATTATTTTCAGATGATTTTGTTGATAGCAAAATATGTGTAAATCCATCTTGTTTCCTGACAACAATGTCTCTGTACCGGTACGCACTCTCCGTTTGCCTCACGCTGAAACGTAGCCTCTTATCAAAAGGTTGATCTCTCCTGTCATCAATAAACCTCCGTTTGCTGGCTGTCACTCCTGTTACAGATGTCTGTATGGTGGTTGTACCATTGGCTGCTAATGCTTCCATAAAGGTGGATGTACCTGGAAATAGTTTAAACAATAACATTCTATCAATTGCATTCTATTTGCTCAGCGGTTTCAAAAGCCCTGTTAGCATGAAAACACACCAGTTATATTAAGAACATAAAGCAAATATGAAACTCAGTCTTCTCAAAGGGACCGAAGTGTTACAGAAATAGACCCTGTGCACAAAGCAAAATTAAAGTGACTAAGGGATCCAAGAAATTAATTTTACATTTTGAGAAAAGACATTTTAAATGAGCCTAAGAAACCCATTACCATATGCTTATTTTTAAAAGGAAGGGCAAGGTTTCATGTTCCTAATACCCATACACTTCAGTAGGTTAATGCTCTTTCTACCTTTCCAACATCCTCAAGTTCTCTAACAGCATCAAGATTGCAAAAAAGAAAGCAGAAGCCTTTTGTTTCAAATGCCATGAGAAGTTAATCTAGAGAAGCAAATGACACCTACAATAAGCCAAATAAAGGACTTGATTGACAAGATCATATAATGCATAATAGTCTTTAAAGGAAAATGGAAATTAAGGAATACAGACTATACTTCTGTGAGAGGGAAATAAGACCCATGCAATGAGAGATATTTGAATGGATTCATAGACAATGAGATATTTCTCAAGTCTAAACAATTTTTGGTATTAGAATTGGCAAACACAGCATTGTGTCTTTCTGGTCTTGTTCCCAGTCACTTAAATAGAATTTGAAGGCATGCAAGTAACCAGGCCATTCCTCATGACACAGAAGGGACAGGTTTTTCTGTACTCCACATTAGAAACATAATAACGAATAATGAGCATTTATAAGAGAACACCTTGGAACTCTAATCCAGCTGCATGTTAAAGTCTTCACTGCATGTTAAAGTCTTCATGTGGAATCTCAAAAAAATTTGTGCCATTAATAAAAATATGCACCGGGGGCGGGACAGACAGTAGGGTTAAAAGTCTTGGAAAAAAGTGTTACAAGCCAAAACAGAGAAGTTTTGAAAAGCCTTTTCAAAGGTTGAGGTTTGAGAGTCTGTTAAAATCTACTGGATCACAAACAGGTACTTCAGGACATCAGGTGTATGACGTCTTAAAACTGTACAAGGAAGTTACTAATTAAATGCCATTGATGCCATCTTGCTTAATTAGTCATTATCTTTTTGAAGAAGATGTATCTTTAAAGTTATAATGTTTGATGCTATGATTTTTTTTTCCCGATGATACTTTAAACATGTGTGTACAGTGAAGACATTAAACAGTCCCACCTTAATAACTGGAATATCCTATATCTCCACATTTTAACTGTATTCAAATGTTTACTTCAACTACGAGAGAGATACTAAGAGAAAGGTTAGTGAAACTACAACTTAGAACATTATACAGTGGAAAGTTAATATTTTATATTATAAAAAGGTTTCATTTATTCCCAAATTTTTCATGGCTTATCAAATTTCTTTTTTTTTTTTCATTTCAGCAGAATAAAAAAATATTGATGCATACCAACTACAAAATTGATGAGGAACGTTTTTGGTACTTTTCTTTATAAACCACACTATGTTGGTGGTGTTGGTGTTCATCCCTTTAAAAGACATCCTTGCAAAAGAGATTTTATGGCTTCTGTCCTAGCCAGAGTGAAAAAAGTGAGAGAAGTGAAAAAAGTAGAGAACCAGGTGAGCACAATAGACTACACCAAGCAAAAAAAAAAGTCAGTAAACTTGTGTGAAAGCTTTGAGTAGATCTTTTCCCATGACTTGTACTTCTAAAGACATACTCAAATACCAGAAAATTACCTCTAAGGTGTAAGAGGCAATGATTTTACACTTTGAGACTCAAAACTTTTGGCAAGACCCACCAACACAATCACCACACAACACTTTCCATGCTTAATGAATTGGCAAGAACCTTCCTGAGTTTATATACGAAGTCTGTCTGCACTTGTCAATAGCTGCAGTTTCAAACCACAAACAAGGGACAGCTGCAGTTCAGTGGCTGGAGTCTCCTACATCTAATCTTGTAAACACAGTTCTAAGATACTTAGAAGGGAATCAAAACATGTCATCTTTAGAAACCATAGCTCTGTGCAGGGAGATTTGCTCAGCTGGTATGGATTAAAGAACAGCACTGACAGAGTTAAGATACATTTGTCAGTTTATCATGACCACTGCAAGCCTGTGACCTCCTGCACCTTAGATTGTAGGAGGGTCTTGTGAATTCGGTCATCAGAAGTGAAGAGACAAGTCAGCGATGCAAAGCAGTACTTCATGCTTTGTGTAAATAGGCAAAGGTTGCCTATCACTGGACTGTCTTGGACATGTGTTGCAGCAAATGAGGAGGAAAAGTTCCAGAGAATTAAGTGTGTTGCCACAGATTTCCTCACACCATGATTTTATATTGAGGTTACTTTTTTCTACGTTAATTACGACTACGTTTTAGTATACAGATTTCATAACATAACAAAAGCAGTTACACATTTTAATACATTAATGGCAATAGCATATCAAAGACAAACCAACCAAAACAGCCCTCTTATTTCAAACTTGAGCTTTCCAAAAATAATAAGGGCTTGGAAAAAAGGCAATTTACCCTAGATATTGTCAACTAATGCAGAACTATGTTTAAGAGGTAACAAACAACTCCTGTAGTTACAAAAAACCCTTTCAAACTGCAAACTATTAATTCATGTAATGTGATCTTCTCAAAGGTGAAGACATACTACTACTTCAAAAAACTTCACCATACAGATGCAAAATTAAATTAAGAGGACTACTTGGTTTTGCAGCTGCTGATCAAAACCTGATTAACAGTCACCATTTTCTTGCAGCTGCTCTTAGGAAAAAAAAAAAAGCTATAGGCAACAGATAAGAAAGGAACAGGTCTTATTCAAGAGGAAAACAGACACAAAATACAGAAGTTGCAAAACAGACAGAGCAGCAAAGGTATAATCATCCCCATTCCACGGGCAGAAGAGAGAAAAAAGCCATCTCTCCAAAATATGAGTGGCATAACAATTAAAATGCACGATGCCAGACATCTAGATAAATAGACTTAAAACAAGCAACACACAATTTCACAACAATCCAAAAGTTACAATCCCAGGCTCCTCTCTAAGGTATTCCTGCCTCAATATCTCCCAAATTCTGAAGTTCAGTTTAGCTCACATAGAAAGCTTAGAGTACTAACACTCCCCTCCCAGCACCAATACTGGGGGCACAACAAATATGCTCTAATGACAGGCAAGACTCTTTTGCATGTTTCTTTTCAAGTGCACATGTACTAGTGGTGGTATCCTTAATTCAAAGGTTTGTCTGACACAAGATGCTGTTTCTGAAAAGCTTAGGACAGATATCTAAGGAATGAGCATAAGAAGATGGGAGCTATGAGCAATGCTGCCCAAGTACTTTCCTCAACTCCAGCAACGAGAAATTTAGCAATTTGCATGCCCAGAACCATAAGGTGCAAGCAAACCATGTAATTAAATCTTTATCCTCCATGGGATTGTCCAACTTACTTTTGAAACCACTATGGTTTTGTCTTCCAAAGGATCTTTCTGCAGTAAGTTCTGCAACTTATATCTTTCTTCATTTCTTTCATCATACCTCTTCTCCACATTGATTAGCCCCAATTTTATTTACCATTCCTTCTTCCAGAAGCCAGTCCAAGTCCCTACTACATCTTGGAATAGGATCCAAAATGGCATTCAAGATGGAGATTTTTAACATGGCATATTCAAGCCTTCTTTTTTTGTCTTCTACTCCTCCATAATAATTTCTAATGCTTTCTTTGTTGTTGTTGGTTTGTTGCTCGGCTTTGTTTTGTTTTTAAAACTAGCACTGAGCAGGTGTTCACAGAAAACTACCCAAAAGAAACAAAATGCTCTTTTCCTGAGCAGTAGCATGTAGTCAAGAACCAGTCACTGCCCAGGCATGGTGGTATGGTTTGCTGTAGGCATAATTTTGCATGGATTTTGCTTTGTTCTCTCCTTATGGCTTGGTGTTCATCTGTGCTGAAAGTATCGTCTCCTTTTAATAATGAAATCACTCAGTATTTTCAGATATGTCTGCAGTGCTCACAAGGAGCTTGAGGGACCTTCATGCACCAACCACATCCTATGCTAAGTGACGAAATGGTTAATAAGGTCTGTCTCTCTTGAATAACAAATTAACAAACACCAGCAATAACAATTTCTTAAAGTGTTAACTGCAAAAAAATAACACTGTGATTGTTACTTATTACAACTCAAGTTCCAGAGAGGAAAAATATGATTGGGGGAAATCATCACTAGAAGTAAATTGTTTTTTTTCCAAAGTCCTTTCTATACTTTCAGTGCATACATAATCCACAAGACTTCATGGCAGCTGTCCAGCGTGGCTTGCCTCACATTCCCTTTTTGCCTACTAATGGTGGTGTTTTGCTACATGCTCAGATGTACTAGCAAGCTCTAACTGCAAACACTTAAGCTTTTCCAGTCCTCACTGTACACTACATCAAATATTTCACACAGTGACACACCAACTGTAGACAGTGATACTGCAGTTTCCAGCAATTTTCCTATCTCTGCTTCAGCAAGTACATAGAAAATATTTCTTAGAATTGCAGCATATTGGCACAGATTATAGAAATTAAAAATGATGGTTCTAAAAAACCTCTATATGTGACCATTTTTTGTCTGAGTGTATATATTTACAGCACTTACATCTTGAAATCAGACAAAAGTTCCAACTTCCTTTGAAATGTCACTACAAATATTTGTAAGAAGAAGAAAAAAATCTTAATTTATTGTACATTTAACCTGAAATACACTTTAGCTTTGTGTTTCTGAAAGTGTTCAGAAGGCATAGGTAATTTATAAAAGAAAGATACACTTTACTGACATCCTTTCAGAATATGTTATATTGATGCAGCACACAAAACGACAGTGCTACCAATAATAATCTGCACATACCCCAGCATTAGAACAGGCATCCCCAAAGATGCCTGGGAGGAGAAAGGCATGGGGAAATGGTCCTGTGTCTTCAAACGATG